TTGTGATCACTGAAAGTGTCAGCGGCAGAATAAAGTAGCTATAAAAGCAAGGGTCCAGTGTTAACACTGTGGGTTGGAATACTGACCAACCACTCACTAACTCCATTTAATCACATCTGCCCCTTCATTTACAGTAAAAAGTTTATAATAACAATTTTAGGATGTTTATAAGGATTGGATGATACTGAAAAAACATCTTGGAAGAGTGTCAAGAATCTAGTAAGTGCTCATTAAAAGTGGGCTTTGATATTAGAGATTGAAGAGCAGATGGTGAAAGAGTAAACGATTCTTGCTTTGAGGGACGTCACAGTCCAGCAAAGTAGATGGGCCAGGGAGTGAGCAATTATAAAATAAGGCAGGACATTACAGGAGCGTTAAATGGTGAACAAATAAAGTTCTGTAGAAAGCCAAGGAGAAGAATATTAATGTTAAGGAAATGAAATAAAGGACAGAATGTTAAACAACAACTAGCATGACCTTACACACAACATGTAGAATTTATTCTTCCTCCTTTGGTTGAATTCCAAGCAAGTCTGTAAGTGATCTGGTTGTGAAAAAGTGGTTGAGAGGTGGCATCTATGAGTGTATGGTGGTGCAATCAAATGTCAAGCTACACAGAATTACAGATTTACAAAACAGAAGTACTGCCCTCTGTCTCTCTCCCTTCCCTCCCTGCCATCTCTCAGATTCATTTCCAGTCATCTAAGGACGCCCCGTGGTGGAGGGGAGGAGAGATCCCCAAAGCTCATTTCCCTATTGGGGCAGATCCTTAAGCAGAGAGCCCCCTGCCTGTTTTGTTTTTGCTGCAGCACATGGGGAAGTATTTCTAACCACTTCCCTATGGAACAAGGGTCACTGCTGCCTGAAGTCAACTATCTCTTCTCCAAAAAGTAAGCACATATTGGAGAGAGGCTCTACGATGGGCAGTTCTAATAAAATATTTGCATTTGTTTCTCAGCCTTTGAAAGTTGCTAAACAGTTAAGAAAGTTTGAATAACCCTAAACTGAGGTCCAGGATCATCTGGAAGAGGACAGTGTGGGTGCAACATGTAGAGTACTGGAAGCCAGGCTGGGTTATGGCCTGTCTTGCTCTGCCACCCATGACTTGCTCCATGCCAGGCCAGGCCCATTTCTTCCTTTGTGAAATAGTAGCACAAGCTATCATTCTTTCAGTTTTTATGACATTTCAAACACATTTGAGATATTCTACTTTCCTTTTCAAAGTAAAAAAAAAAAAAAAACTGATTAAATACATACCCATCACTACCCAACTACAAATAGTATATTTTAAGTTTTTTATAGTGACATACTTTCATTTTATTTTAAATTAGAAGCTTAACCCTCCACCAAATAAGGTATTCAACAAATAATAAGTAGAAAACCTACTTTTCCTCAAGAGTATAGATAATGGCTGTAAACAAAAGCGAATCTCAGAATGTCAATTTCACTCATATATATTACATTTTTGTGTTATGTATGCTAATTACCACAAATCAGGGAAAACATATGGTATTTGTCTTTTGGGGACTGGCTTATTTCACCAAACATAATAGTTTCCTGTCACATCCATTTTGTTTTAAAAGACAGGGTCTTTTTTATGGCAAAGTAATATTCCAAAATATACATTTATACATACTTAAATATATATATATATACATATATATATATAGACACACACCACATTTTCTTTATCCAGTCATCAGTTAATGGACATCTGAGTTGATTCTATTTCTTAACTATTGTGAATTGATTTGCAATAAATATAGGAATGCATATAACTCTTTCTTAAGCTGATTTCATTTTGTTTGCTTAAATTCCACAGAGTGGGATGATTGGGTCATGTGGTAGATCTATTTTCATATTTCTGAGGAATCTCTGTACTGTCTTCTGTATGCTTGTACTAGTTCACATTCCCACCAACAGTGTATTAGGGTACCTTTCCTGCCCCCCACTTTCTCATCAGCATTTATTATTATTTTTTTTTGTGAGGATATCCATTCTAATTAAGGTGAAGTGAAACCTCATTGTGATTTCTACTTACATTTCCCTGATCCTGAGTATATTTCCATGTGTCTTTTGGCCATTTGAATTTCATACTTTCAAAAAATGCCTGTAAATAATCATTGAATCTCAAAATGTCAATTTCACTGCTTTACATTACTTTTTAGGGACTTTATTGGTTACTACAGATCAGGAATGACTGTTGAAGAACAGTGTTTTTTTTTTTTTTTCTTCATACTATTGAACTCTTTACATAGTATAGGTTAATATTATGAGTATAATGTTAACTGAAAATAGATAATTGTAAAAATTAAGGTGGGAATAAGAGAGGAAAGATAACGAAGGATGGGACTGTGGATGGGAGGGAGGGTTGGGTGGGAAGTATCACTATATTCTTGAATCAGTATATAGGAAATACATGAAATTTTTAGACCTTAATTTTTTTTAAAAAAAGAAAAATGCCTATTCATACCCTTTACCTTTTTCTTGAATAGTCAGTATTCAAATTCAAGTCTGTCTTTAAAGGCACTAGCAATCCTCTCTAAATCTAGCATGAAATACACCCTCAATAAATCACAGCTATTATTATTCTAAAGTGACATTGACCATTATTATAGGAATATGGGTTTTAAAAAGAAAAGACAGCATTAGGACCAATTGTCACTTCAGCAATGGTAAGATAAATATCCAGTTTTGTAACTAGAATATTTATAGAGGAGTTTATTTCCTCTTATAATCATAGTCTTACCAGTGCTTTAGCTCCAGAAAGAGGAGAAATTCCATTTATGAATTCAGCATTCTTAAAAGGGAGAAAAAAATGTTGGGCTAGAAATTAGTTGATATTTTATACCTGTCATAGTTTTTTATGATTATCTCATTCCATTCTGATTACAATTTTATTTTTATGCTAACTTAATAGATTTTAAGAAAGCAGTCTCCGTGTGGATTAGTGATACGCTTGGCTTACGCTAGCACCCCTGAAATTAATGCCTTTAGTCAAACTTCATTAATTAGTAGTCTTGCAACTTTTGGCAAGATACTTCATTTCTCTTGGCCTGGGCTTCTTGATCTATAAAATATGAGTAAGACATAGATGTTTTGATTTCTAAGGCTTACTTCCATAACAGTCTTGGCATCTTGCAGCCATTAGCATTGGCTTTAGAAAAAGCTTTTGCTCAAGATGAAACTCCATGGGGTTGGCTACTTAGAGTTGTACTATTTTTACCCTAGATTCTTTGCATGCTTAGGGTTGTGTATTTGAGCTGATGAGATTTGGTATCAAGTAATATTTTCTCAAACACTCAGTGCTTTACCTTTATTCAGCAGAGTTCTCTGGAAATTTCAATAGTGGAATAAATGAAACAGAGCCCTAAGATGTTTTCTTAGGAAGAAGGAAATGTTTGGGCCGGCGCCGCGGCTCACTAGGCTAATCCTCCGCCTAGCGGCGCCGGCACACCGGGTTCTAGTCCCGGTCGGGGCGCCGGATTCTGTCCCGGTTGCCCCTCTTCCAGGCCAGCCCTCTGCTGTGGCCAGGGAGTGCAGTGGAGGATGGCCCAGGTGCTTGGGCCCTGCACCCCATGGGAGACCAGGAAAAGCACCTGGCTCCTGGCTCCTGCCATCGGATCAGCGCGGTGCGCCGGCCGCAGCGCGCCGGCCGCGGCGGCCATTGGAGGGTGAACCAACGGCAAAAGGAAGACCTTTCTCTCTGTCTCTCTCTCTCACTGTCCACTCTGCCTGTCAAAAAAAAAAAAAAAAAAAACAAAACAAAAAAAAGAAGGAAATGTTTGCAAGTTACTCATACAGACAAGATATTAAGGCTACTGGCTTTGAATTTTATTTATTCTGCATATAAAACACAATGAAGTTCATGTTTGGTTGTCCTTCAGGTAATCCTTAAAAGTAATGACTAGGTTAGCATGATAAAACAGACTATTCTTAGTGGAGAGGATCAGGCATTCATTTGAGAAACAGAAAGAATTGCTTTGCAGGAAGATGCTGCTCACCTGCGCAGGGGCCCACTCCTAAAACAGGAGAATCTTGTATTTAATGTTGTTATTTCTAGGCTCATTAGAGGGATGACAGGGGACCCAAACCACAGGGCTATGTGTCAAATCTCTCTGAAGCAAGTGAGGTTATATTGGGCCAGCACAGTACTTTGTCTTATTTTAATAAATTGGGCAATTTTTAAGTCTAATAATTTTTAAGTCTTAGTTAAGCATGGGACCACCTCCTCTACGTCTGGTTTACTTCATTCATTCAGGGTACCTGCCTGCTTCTTGAAGGCATTTGAGTTGCAATCTCTGTGTATTCATCCTGAGCTATATTTATATTCATCTTATTTATCCCTTAAATACAATGTGAGTTAGCGATTAAAATTTTCTATATACAAACAAGTAAACTGAGGCTCAAAGGAAAGCATAAGGCAAGATAACTACTAATTCCACAGCTGCCCACTAGGCATATGACATAATAGATCTGTTTACTGGGGTCTGCATTGTCTTGCTGCAGTGCAAGCGTTTCAAAGAACATTCATTTCCATGACTTGGATTTATTCTTTGATGTGAGCAATCAAGACTCCCTACCTGTTTTGTCAGGGACAGCAGCATCACCTAACTGGGAGCCTCTAAGGGCATCATGACCTTGTCTTCCCTGCTGGGACGTCCCTTACACCCACTGTGTTCATTTCTAGACCCGTGCTTTCTGAGCCGTTGATAAATTCGATGCCTACAATGTCTCCTTAGTAATTATTTAAGGAATATTTTATGTTCAATCATGAAAGGCAGGGAGCCGCAAAATATCCGTATTCAAATAGCTGAAGGACCAAGACACAGTCCATATCCTCCCCTTCTGTGACTCTGAGGGGCAAGGCCAGGCAGAGTCTTTCCGCAAGAACTCCAGTGAATCAGACCCGCCCATCAGCCCCGCCGTCAAATCCCTGCCTGGGCGCCCTGATTCCTCCCCAGACACCACGCCAGGTTTCCACCTGGATGTGGGCACCTGAGCTTTCTGCATTCATGTCCCCAAAGCTGCCTGCAGCCCTAGAGCCCGCCCAGCAGGCGTCTCAGTACGAGGGGGACGCTGGCGCCGTCTCCTGGCAACAGCAGACGCGGAACCTAGGGGCATCCAGCCGGCTGCTAGCTCTCAGTCCGTCCTGGGTCGCACTCGCCATGACCACCAAACAAAGCAAAAGGAAAGAGGTGCATAGGATCAACTCCGGCCACGGATCGGGATCCGATAAATCTAAAGAGTAAGGGACTTCTGCCTGCCAACCCCTGTCTGGTGTAGCCCCCTTGGCTTTATCACTGTCCTGGGCAAACTGCCAGGACAGAAATTCACAGCTTCTTTCTTCCCCCTCCCATAGGTTCTCTCTCCCTTGTCTGTCTTCACCCAGGTCCTCTCCTGAAGCCTCTTGTTTTCCTGCTCAGTGGACTGAATTTTTGGCTGTCACCCTGGGACTCCCCCTCTCCCCTTCCCACTCTTCCTTTCCTTCTTCGCCCATTCAAGTAGTCACACAGGCGACGGTTCATTTAGGGGACAGGTATAATTCAAAAGACATCCAGTTAAGGTCACATCTGCATAGCTCCAAAGTTGGGAGAGTGAGAAAGGGGTTGGGGAGGAGAGAGGAAGGGAGGGAGGGAGGGAGAGAGGAAGGAAGGGAGGGAGGGAGGGAGAGAGAGAGAGAGAGAGAGAGAGACAGAGAGAGACAGAGAGACAGAGAGAAATTCCTTCTTAATGGTGATTCCCTAGTCCCCCCCCCCCCAAAGAAGACATTTAATCAGATGAAATCAGAGGTAAAGTGGCTTGAAAAAGCTAAGACAATACAGCTATATAGAATTTTCTATATACAAACAAGGAAACCGTTTTATTATTATTTTGTCTTTGATCCTTTTTTTCCCAGAGAGACGCTGTGTTTATCTACTGTCCGAGCTTATAAAACTTCTAAAATCCATTCTGGCTGTGAGAAATGCCAGTGGCCAACCTCTCTTCGAACAGGGTCACTCCTGCTCCTCAGTCTGCACTGGGAGGGGGGTGGGGGCAGCAGCTTGTATCTAATTGGATTCTCTGACTCCACCTTCCCCTCTTTCCCCTAGTGTCGGACCCACTTAGCCTCCTCCTCTTCACTCCTGGAACACCCAAGGACTTTTGCACTTGCTATTTCCTCTTCTGGAAAGATCTCTCCCAGAGGGTCATATAGTTTTCTCCTTCACCTCCGTCATATGTACGTCCAAATGTCATTTTCCTGTCAGCTTCTTTGGATATGTGATTTAAAAATTGTAATTCCCTGAGTGGGGAATTGACCTAGTGGTTAAGATGCTGGTTAAGTCACCTGTGTCCATATCAGAGTGCTGGGGTTTGATGCCCACCTCTGTGTTCTGACTCCAGCTTCTTGTTAATGCGGACCCTGGGAGACAGCAGTGATGGTACAAAAAAAATTTTTTTTTTTTTTGACAGGCAGAGTGGACAGTGAGAGAAAGAGAAAGGTCTTCCTTTGCAGTTGGTTCACCCTCCAATGGCAGCAGCAGCCTATGCGCTGATCCGAAGGCAGGAGCCAGGTGCTTCTCCTGGTCTCCCATCGGGTGCAGGGCCCAAGCACTTGGGCTATCCTCCACTGCACTCCTGGGCCACAGCAGAGAGCTGGCCTGGAAGAGGGGCAACCGGGACAGAATCTGGCGCCCCGACCGGGACTAGAACCCGGTGTGCCGGCGCTGCAGATGGAGGATTAGCCTATTGCCCCAAGGCACTGGCCAGTGATGGTTCAAGTCATTGACTTTCTACCACCAATGTGGGAGACCTAGATTGAGTTCCTGGCTCCTGGATGAGTCACTGGAGCATAGCATGAATCAGCTTCTGGGAACTAACTCTCAAAATCTCTTTCTCTTTCTCTTTTCCTCTCTCTCTCAATAAATAAATAAAAATGAGTGCATATAGAATCTAAAGTTGCAACCCCCACTTCCATGCCAAAGCCAAAATCCTGACCAAAAAAATCTCCCTAACTTCTTTCACTGCTTTATTTTTCTCTATTGCTGTTTTTGCTCATTTAAAATACTTTTATATGTTTTATATATTTTTTATTTTTAGAAATCATGTTTTTCTCATTTGTCTTCCTAATAAAGTATAATTTTCATGAAGGCAGGGAGTTTTAATTTTCTATTTTATACAGTATTTAATCCTTAGTAGCTAGAGTAGTTCGTGGGCCACACAAAGTAAACATTCAAAAATTTATATTAAATGAATGAATGCATGGCAATGTTTCACAGATTTTTACAGTGTTTCAGGAGAGTTTTGAATGCACCAAAATAATAACAATGATAACTTAGTTAACAATGTTTAAAATTAATGCACGTTGAAGAGCCACAACTCTTTGGGAGCTTGGGAGATATCTTCAGCTTCAAAGAGCTTATATTCTGAAAAATATGAGATTGTTTACTCCCATGAAGAAAATGACCAAACCAGACACCATAAAGCATGTTACATGGTTTGGTCCTGTGGTGGTGCCTACAGGGAAGACACTAGCTCTTCTCTTGGCAGGATTTCTAACTTTATTTTGAGATAATTACTTCTAACACATTTACCTTTTTCCAAAATTATCTGAATTTAACTACGTGAATAAAATTATTTGTGTATATTTATGAAAATGGAGAGGAAGGGCTAGTGGCTCTATAAAAAGCTAGGTTTTCCTGGAAACTAAGGGTTAAACAGCAAATCATTAGATTATATTGTAGCATTAAATGATAGTATATGAAGCTCTTTCTAAATTAAGTCTCCTCTAAGTTTTACTGAGGAACTAAGAAGCATAGTACCAGGCTAAGTGTCACCAAGCAGGATGTGTAGAGATCAAAGTTATGTGAGGCTATCGTGTGATTGTCACTTGAAATGCCCTGAGGAAATCCCTAGTGAGTTATGCCATTTCACCGCAGCTTGTGGTTACACATTCAGTAAATGCAACTAACTGTAACACGCTCCTGAAGGCAAAAATCAGAGAAGACCATTTCAGAGCCGTGAAAATGTCCCTGCTATCGAATTTGATTCTCTTCAGATACCTCAGTAACATCTCCTTTTTTTCTTAAAATTTTACATCAGTCTGGGGACAGAGACTGTGTCTGACTTTTGCCTAGTGTATTGACCAGAGCACATAACAAGCACTTACCACTTGCTTATGGAATGGGTGCATGGTTTACTTAAGCCTACCTTGGTTTTTCTTCTTTCTGAGTTGTATTGAAGCCCAATTTGCCTTCCCTTTCCTATTGTATCTGCTGTTATCCCCAAAACTGAGATGTTACTGCTGATAAGACCAGACTCAGCTGTGTCCAGCTACGAACAAATTCATAAGTAGTTATGACCTTGACTCAGCAAGAAAATTGTACCAGGAAACTTAACTGTCAGTTTTTACATTAAACTATTTCTATTCTATTTCTTCTCTAATTCTCTGTATCCACTAAGATGACATCTCTGTTCTGGCATTCACTCTGGCATCAATTCTTTTGTGACACTTGGCAAGTTTTTTCTATTCTCACTTTTGATCTTCTCTCCTCTAAATAAAGGGCAGCTAATTGAACTTGCTCTCACCCTAGCACTACCTGTCCCCTTTTCATTGCTTCATTTTCATTTCTACTCTAAACTTCCAGAATCAGACCTCATCAGACTTTTATTTAACTCCAGTAAGTCCATAATAAGTGAGTGAATTTTGTTATGGTAAAACATTTAACATTGTGAATAAGTTGCCTTTTGTGGTTTATTTATTTATTTATTCATCTATTTACTGTGTGGGAAGTAAGATAGCATAGTTTAATGAAGAGAAATATACCTGACAGGTCAGGCAGACATCTCGGGAAAGATAACAACTGTCACAAACTATGACTTTCATTATCTGCTGTAGTCATTTCTAACTGCTATCGCAAAATACCATAGACTTGATGGCTTAAACAGCCAAAATTTATTTCTCACTGTTTTGGAGGCTGGAAGTTCAAGATCAAACTACTTGGCATGTTCAGATGCTGGGAGGGCCTTCTTTGAGGTTCACATATTTACTTATTTTACCCTCACTAGGTGGAAAGGGAGGACTATTTTCTTTCACATGCATAAGGACATTAATCCCATCATGAAGTCTTTATTTTAATGACCTAATTATATTCCGAAGTCCCCACATCCTAATGGCAATCCACTGGAGGTTAGGGTTCGACATACAAATTTGGGTAGGACACAGACATGCATTCTAAATAGGATCAAATTATAATCAGCAATTATAAACAATTGATTTGAAAGTTAATGGGCACTGCAAAGGTTCTCATCAATTAGATGCCATTGGAAATAGAGGTACAAAAATCTTACCTTTTGCAAGTACTAAATATAGGTCTTTATGTCAGTCATGGATAACTCAGCAGACGCAATAGAAAGCATACAATTTAAGTATGAATAGACATTCGAAGCATAAATAGATATACTATATATACTAAAATTTGTTTAACTTTAGTGGATAGTTTGAGATGGGGACACAATGTTGATGTTCATAGTCACAAAATATTATTCCACTTCTGATAGCGATGTTAAAAATGGTAACAGGTAATTTTTAAAATAACAGGACTCAAATAACCTTCTAGATTCATAATTGTGGTAAAATATTCAATCTGTTTTCTCAAAACATAATGAAACATTTCGGAGTCTCTAATTTATCATTATGACTGAAATAAACATCTAAACTTCATGGAACTTTCAGAAAGAATCAATGTACCTGTCTATGTGAAATTTGAAACAAAACTATTATAAAAACTGAATTATGATTAGTACCATGGAAACAACAGAAAACATAGGAATAAATACCTTACTGAGTATTAAATTAAGTAGGGTTTTGGTTATCTGAGGTCTAAGAAGGAACTGATTCAATGGAACCATGCAACAGTAGTTGGTAAATAACATGTTCCTCTGCCCGCAGAGATCATAAAAGAAATCCCTTGTAAGAGCAGGATATAGTAGGGGGGGTTCAGCTCTCAGGCCTGTCTCACCATTCACACCAGTTGGCAGAGCTCAGAGGAGGAACAACCAACTGAGGAGGGAGCAGCCCAGGAGTCACAGTGAATTTTCTCAATTCCACACCAGATCACTGTGGACCTCAACAACTAAGATCAATTAACAAATTCAAAAGGTATGTTTCAGAGGAGAAATGTCCCTAGATAAGAATCTATTTATGTTTCTTTCTCAACCACTTAGTGAACATTTATCATGCCCAAGTCACTGGTAGGCCTTGGAGGA